AGGAGCACGGGGACCTAGCAGGGGAAAGAGAGGAGCCCAGAGGAGCATGGGGACCTAGCAAGGGGAAAGAGAGGAGCCCAGAGGAGCACGGGTACCTAGCAAGGGAAAGAGAGGAGCCCAGAGGAGCACGGGGACCTGGCAAGGGGAAATAAAGGAGCACAGAGGAGCACGGAGACCTAGCAAGGAGAAAGAGAGAAGCATAGGGGAACACAGGGACCTAGCAAGGGGAAAGAGAGGATCACAGAGGAGCATGGAGACCTAGCAAGGGGAAAGAGAGGAGCCCAGGGGAGCACCGGGACCTAGCAAGGAGAAAGAGAGGAGCCCAGAGGAAAAGAATCAAGATGGCGATCTGAGGAGGAGGCAAGGTCAGGAGAGAGAAACTGTACGGTCTAGAAATGAGGAATCCAGCTATGCATGCCTGCAATCCTAGTGACTCAGGAGACTGAGGCAGGATCACAAGTTCAAGGCCAGCCTGGGCAACTTAGTGAGACCGTCTCAAAATAAAATGAAGAGTGTCAGGGATGCAGCTCAGGGGTGGAGTGATTGCCTGGCATAGTGAGGCTCCGGGTTCCATCCTCAGTGCCACAAAGAGAAGGAGAGATAGTGGTGGTGGTAGTAGTAGCAGTTGGAAGACGGAGCAGGAAGGAGAGGAGGAGGAGGAGTGGAGGAACGTGCAGAGGAAGAAGTAGAAGGCACAGGGGAGGGAAGATGAAGGGAAAGGAGGAAAGGACACCCAGGGAGTCTGGAGAAGTCGTTGGGGCTGCAGATGGAAGACAGACTTGCAGGAGGAAGGTGGCAGGGGGAGAAGAGGAGGGGCCGAGTCACACCTCCATTCCAGGTAAAGCAGAAGTGACAAGGGAGCCACGGAACCCAAGAGGAGGCCAAGCCGGGGTGGAGGAAGGGGCGTGGATGGGGCCCGAGAGAGGGGTAGGAGCGTCGAAGGGGGAGGATGCAGGAGGCCAGGGGCAGATGGGATGGGGCGGGTTAGAGGAGAAGAAGGGTCAAACTAAGGGCGGGAGGAAAGAGAGGAGGGTTGAGGCCCCAGCGAGCGCGGGAGAAGGAGGGCGGAGGGAGGGGTGCTGGGAGCAGGGAAGGGGGGGACAGAATGAATGAAAGATGAGCTAAGGGGCTCCCCGGGGAAGGGGGCACCAACGTGCAGAGAGGCGAGGGCAGGCGGGCCGAGGCCGAGGAGCTCAGCTGGGCCGGGTGCGGCAGCAGAGTGGGTGGAGTGGGGCGGAGCAGGGACCGAGAGGGACGCTCTGGAGGCCCGACGGGGCGCCAGCGCAGGGCTGGCGCGGTGGCGGCCGGCAGGCCCTCCCGCACCCTACCTTCCAGGCAGCAGATCCTCCAGAGGCCCGAGTGCGTGAGGCCCCCGGGGTCCTTCTTCTCGGAGGCGCCGCCGCCCCCGCGGTGCTGGGGGCCGTCGTCGCCGGCCGTGAGGTTGGTGGTGTTGCAGATGAGCGCGCGCGTGTACAGCCAGTAGTCGGTGCTGATGGCGATGGTCATGAGCCCGAAGGCCGCGAAGGCCCCCACCGTGGTCAGCAGCACCTGCACGCCCTTCTCGCACCAGAGGCCCCTCTCTTCGTTCCAGCGCTTCAGCGACTCCAGTTTGACCACGGGCAGCCGGGGGGCCGTGGGCCACCACCGGGGCAGCGGGGGCGGGGCCGTGCCGGCGGCTGGGGGGGGTCACAGCGCAGGCAGAAGCTGGGGGCCGGGAACCGGCGGGGCGGGGCGGGGGTGGCGAGCAGGAGGCTGCGGCAGGGCGGGGGTCAGGGCAGGGCCATGGTCTCTGGCTGGGGAGGGCAGGGTGAGAGAAGGGATTAGATGGCACCGAGGCTCTCCCAGCCCTCCCCCGCGCCCGCCCGGGAAAGACTGTCCCCCCTTGAAGAAACTCCTTCCACCCTGGTCCCCATCCCTGGAAAGGAAACCCTCCTCAAGTATTGTCCCCTGCCCCCAAAAGTCCACGAGTCACTGGGAGAGATCCCCCAGCCTGGTTTTATACTCGGAGAGCTGCTCTCTGCGGGGCCACTGTCCTCCCGATTGGAAGCCACCCAACCCGGGCCCCACTGCCTCCTCCTCCCAAGGAAGGCCTGACCCTCCTCCTTTCTGTCAAGACCCCCCACCTTCCCCGTGGCCTTCTCTGTACAGATCTTCCCCTCTTCCCTGCGGGTCCCACCTCTGCAACGGCTGGGAGGCCTCGGAAAATGCCCTCCTGACCCTGGCTTTGCCTAAAGTATCTCCACAATTTGGGAATCCCCAGTCCCTCCACTTCCACCTCTTCTTTGGAGAAATACCCTCCATAAGCCTGACATTACTGCTACAATTTCCTCTACTTAGGAAAAATAGATTGTTCAATCCCACCTCAGCTTAAAAAAAAAAAAAAAAAAAAAACAACTTTCCCAAGTGACCCTCATTATTTGCACAAGCCAGGATAACCGGACCACTACCACTCACTCACTCCCCTTCCCTTCCCAGCCCCTGTGCCTGAGGACACAGGTTTGCAGCCTCCAACACACCTTTCCAGAGGACTTTTAAAAATTCTAATATCTGGGTCCCACCTGGGAAATTCCTCTTAATTGGCCTGGAGCGGCCAAACATCTAGATTTTTTAGAACTCCCTGGGGAAGTGGAACCTGCAGGCGAGGTTAGACCCCCCGGTTTAGGAGAATCCCTCCCTTGCAGTCACATCCCCTCTGACAACCCCATGTCTCCCCAGTCCTGTCTTTGACTCCAAGAGAGCTCCCACTCTCTCTCCTTTGCTTAACAAAGTCTTCCAAATCTGGCCCTGCTACCTCTACAACTTAGATTAACTCATAACCATCACATTCTCCTCCATTATGACCACCCCCCACCCTGAGCTCCAGAGCGTCTCTGCCCACAGCACCTGCTTCCTCCAAACCCCAGTTTCTCTCCATTCAGGAAAGTCCCAATACCTGACCTGTGCACCACCGCTATCCAAAATTAACCCCTGCATGCACTAGCCCTGGTCCTCTGTCCCTGCACCATGGCCCATGCCCTGAGCCCCCATCAGAAGCTCACCATCTGCATCACAGAGGATCCCTCGCTCGCTCTGGGTCTCCCAACTCACTTGGAACCCTGCTCTCTTTCAGGTTCAAGGAAGTGCCCTCCCAACTTCTCTTACACCACGAACAGTCCCCTCACTCTTGTCTGCTAGCTTCACCCTCTTTAGCTCCTAGCATCTCCACCAAAAGGGAGACCCTCTCCTCTGCCCCCATGGACTGCCTTTCTTGGGAACACCCCCACATCATCCCCCACAGCCATTTCACATGTGCAGGAACTTACAGAGAAGCCCCCAACTTCTTCCAGACTTAAAAAGATCCTCTAATCCACTGCACCCTCAGAAAAATGTGATCCGCAAGACTACAACTCTCTTTTCAACTGGGAACAATTGCCCACTCTGCCCCCCCACTGTCCATTCACTTCTCTCTCTCACAGCTCCCCACCACCATGCCACCATACCCCAGCTTCCTGCCGCCACCATACCCACTCCCCCTGGCCATGTGTCCTTGAGCTGTTTCCACCACTTTCCTAGACTTCTTCCTCAAGTCCCCCTAGAGTAAGGAGCCTGGCAGCCTTACAGGAGGGGAAATCAACCCCCAAACCTAGGTCCCCCTGCAGGGTGACCTTGGCCTCCCAGTTTCCTCTGGCTCTCTGCCCCCCATCAGCTGGCCCCAGACCGGGTCCTCCCAGGAGGGGCTGCTGAGAAAGGTTGTCTAGGGGGGGCGTCTCCATGGCAACGGGGCCTAGTGCCCCACACATGTGTTCCCTCCCCCACTGCAACTCCTGCCTGCCCACACAGCCCCCTCCTGGGCCCTGGGCACGCTGGACCTGGTGTCCCTAGCCTCTGTCCTGGTGCTGGGTCTTGGCCCCTTCCTCTCTTTTCTCCCAGAGCCAGCCCCTCTCCTGCCTCTCGGCCTCTTCTCCCTGGCCCCTGGCCCCCAGCACAGCCACCTCTGCCGTCCTGACTAATCTCTGGTTCCACAGGGTGAGCCTGTGACCCCGGGATGTACCTCCCCACTGCTGGGCCCCTACCACCTGGGACAGAGAGGAAGGGATGAGGAGGGAAAGGAGGGAATTTCTCCATCAATAAAGATTTGAGGATCTTTTCATTTTGCCAATTTGGGGGACAATCTGTTTGGCTTTAGGGACTCTTCATTGACTCCATCTGCCCGCGGCTGCAAATGAGGAAGGAACAGGGGACCCTCCAGTTCTAAAGCTTCCGGATAGGAGGGGGTCACTGTCCTCTCTTCTGCGGGCCGGCTCCTTTCTCCAGAATTAGGGGAGTCAGAGAGCCTGAATTCTACATCCACCCACCTCCGATTAATAAGAAGATGGTCTCACCTCTGTGATCGATAGGTCAACTCTCCGATGCACTGGGCAGGGATGTCCAGCCCCCCCGCCGACACCCCCCCAGAAAAGCCCTTTTGGCTCCCAATTCTCGCAGCTTCCCCCTCCCCCAGCAATGAGGGACCCAGGCGTCCGACCTGGTGGGGGTGAAATGAGGAGGCGTAAGAGGAATGGGGGTGCGGAGGCGGAGGGGGAGCTGGGGCAGCTCTGAGTCTGGGCCCCCCCGGGAGTGAGGGTCTGGATTAAAAAAAAAAAAGGTGAGGAGACAATTTGGTTCTCGTGTCGCTGGGTAAAGTGCGGAGCTGGAGGACGGGAGAGGGAGGGAGGAGGGAGGGAGGGGGAGGGGAGCTGCTGAGGGATGGGGAGCCTCCGAGAGGAGATGGATGGGGGAAGGGAGAGGATGGGGGGCAGGGTCTGGGTGGCAGAAGCAAGCTGGGGAAGAAGAGAGTGAGAGCTGGGGAGGGAGGGAGAGAGACAGCGAGACAGGAGAGACGGGAAGAGAGACTCGGAGACGGGGAACAGGGATGGGGGAGGGAGGAATTTGGGGGAGGCAGAGACTGGTAACAGAAGGAAGTTGGAGAGACACACACAGAGAGAAATACCCGGGGAGAGAAGGGGACAGAGACGGAGACCCGGAGAGAGAAACCAAGGGACTGAGTGGGGGAGGGCTGGGGGAAGGGGGGGGGGGGGGGGGTCGGGAACTGAGTAACAGAAGGGAAGGAGGACAAGGGACAGAGTCATCCAGAGAGGAGGAAGGAGAGACAGATGGGAGAGACAGACAGAGGGACTGAGAGGATGGGGGAGAACTGGGAAGAGGGGAAGCAATGGAAAGGGGGAGGGGGAGAAGCGGGGAGGGGGCAAGGTCTTGGTGGAGAGAGGGTGACTGACAGGAGGAGAGAGTAAATAAGGAGAGAAAATTAGGGGAGAGGGCTCTGGGTGACAGAAGGTGCCTGAAGACAGAAAGCCAGGTGCAGAAGGAAAGAGAGACCCAGAAAGAGAGACAGATGGAGAGAGAGACTGGAGAGAGACCCAGAGACCCAGAGACAGGCAGAGACTGGGGGAACACCACAGGGAGCCCGAGAGAAATAACGGAGAGGGGTCCGCTCAGAGGCACTCAGGGGGCCAGAGACGCAGGGTACCTGCCCCTCCCCGCTCGCGTCCCCCGCCCCTGAACCCTACCCCCACCCCCATTTCAAAGCCACCACCCCCACCCCCACTAGCCTCCATCTCTCAGCATCGCTTGCCGCCGCCACCGCCTCTTCCTGTCGTCATGGCAACAGGATCCAGGCGCCCAGCCAAGGCTGGCAGCCGCGGCCGGAAATGAGGGGAGGGCCTTTTAAAAAGGACCCCAGGAAAGCTCCCCTTTCCCCAAATCCAAGGAAAAGCTCAACTTTTCAGGGTCTTTCCACCTCCTTCCCCAAGTAGCAAGGGCAAAGATCCTGCCAAGACTCGAATCCGATTGAATCCGTAAGGATAGAGAGCATTTTGACTTTCACCAACAATTCTTTTTCCTTGCACCCCCTACTGACTGATGGGGAGGGAGGGGTACAGTTAGAGTCCCCCCAACATGGGGCTGGGGCTGGGGAGGAAAGTGGTCTGTGACAAGCTGTGGAAACACTCCTTCCTGAGGGCCCGGCTGAGAGCTGCCCAGCCAAGGGTTTCCAGAAGGATGCATGTGTCCACCCCGGAACTAGCCACGAAGAGGGCTGGGACAGGAGGGCAGTCAGAAAGTTTGGTCTTGGTCTGAATCTCAGGGATGTCCCTTCGCCACTGTGTGACCTTGGACAAAGCACTCGCCGTCGCCTAAACTCAGTTGTTCCCAGCTTCAGAGGGGCAGAGGGGACCAGCTGCCTCCAGTTAGTGGAGCACACTGAGGAGGAGGGCGTCCCTGTAGGTAAGCAGGTTTCCCAGGACTGCTCCCCAAGCAAATGTCATAAAAAACGTAAGGCCGTCTTCGCCTTCAGCTGGGCAGCCTGCGGCTCCGGTCTCTCGTGGAATTCTGACAGAGTCCTTGCTGCACGGTGGGCAGCCATACTCCCATGTCATAGATGAGCAAACTGAGGTCCCCATGTGTGATGGCTCACCCAGGAAATCAACAAGAGGCAGAGCCGGGGACCAAGCAGCCTCTTCACAGGGAGTAACTGGGGCAGGGGTGGCCAGCAAGAGGTGAGTTGTGAAGCCCTTTAGCCCCACCCACCTCCTGGGGCTGGCCTGTACTCCTCTTGGTGCTCTGCTCAGTGTCTGTACCACTGGC